CTAGCGCTGGCGATAGTTCCACTTAAATGAAGAGGTTGGACTAGAGACCACCAGAAGCTCCTCTGAACCAGCACTTCTATGATTTTGTTTCCAAATATAAGAAAGGTATTAAGAAGGCACAGAAAATAGTATCTTTAAAAACAGGCAAGAATATTCTCAGCCTGGTTATTACAGGCAAGGTCACTGCATTCCTCAGTATTTTATGTTATTTGAAATGAGGCTGCTGCATAATTTGAGAGGTTTTTCATTACATATGAAGTTGAACCATCTCTGAAACAGTTCCTGCTGAAGTTAATACCAAGTAATTCTTGTTTCCCACTGTCCCATTTTCCAATACACTACACTTCTGCACTGACAACTGGTAATTGCACGGCAGGATCTGAAACATTTTGGCAACAGATCACAAAAACTCTTCAGGATGTAAAGGGAAACATGGGATTACACAAGAAATGGGAACACATTAGCCAGTTAACATGATCAGAAAAATTAACATTCAAAGAGTCATTTACAGGTTTCAGGATTAGCGTATTAAGTGGGAAACAATTCAAGAAGTTTAGAACTGTTGCTTCATATTGCTGGAAAACTCCACCATGACACTGCCTTCTCTTGTTCATATATTTATCTTGCCCGTGAGTTACTTCTACCTTTAAACTGTGGAGCAAATTTCTGCAACACCATACCACCAGTAAAACAGGGTCTGGTCTGTCACACTCTCTGGTCTGTCACAAGTGGGCCCCAAAAGCCAAGAGTTTCAGCAGTCCCTTTGGAAGTCTCACCTACTCTTGGTTTTACACAGCACAGGTCAAATCTCATCCATTCCCCAACGATGCATAGCCCTATTTTTGGTGTTTACAATTCTGCAAGGGTTCTGCCTGCAGCAATACCAGAATCGAGATGCCGGCAAATAATGGACAGACACTGTAGAAATAACATTTTTGGTTTAGTGTTTGCAATTTGTTTTACAGCTCATAATGAAATACTGTTAGAGATATTCTACATTCATACATTTCTAGCAAAATACACTTTTAAAAACATAAGGCACTTTAAGACTCCCTAAAACAAACGCTCATGATAAAAATTCAACAAGAGGGCTGGATGAGAATCCTTTCTACCCTTAATGTTCAGGTCAGTAAAAGATCAATCCTCTAGTCAGGCAGGCAAATGAAATAATCAATAGAAAGGTTTCCAAGATAGAGTTACTGCTGTATTAGTGTGCATTCTGAAGTAGTCTGTTTGAAGTATCTTCAGTTGGGGAGGGAGGGCATGGTGTGAATAAGATGCACTAAAATAGTTCTTTGAACTGGGTAACAAAGACACATTGCAGGGATTAAATTTCATTACTTTCATTGGATTAAATTCCTTCCATTCATTATTGCCAACAAGAGTAAGGAACAAAAGGAGCTGGTTCTCCCCTCTTTCCCCCCTACTCCCATTATAATTCAACTCAAGATTCCAAAGACTTAAAATGACCAGGACAGAAGCCCATGAAAAACTGCATCTGGCCACTTCAGAGTACGTTTAAATATTCATTACTGACTTCCTCAAGTCTCACCTCTTATAAAGAAAGAGAAACATAAAAGAATTGGCAACTGTATAAGTTGCTTCCAGTCAAATTGGTATTTTGCTTCTTTTTAACACCACCCCACTGTTCACATGAAGTACCTGCATTCAGAAAGGCACCAGCAGCTCCCCTTGGCAGAGAGCTGGCGGGGCAGAGGATGAATGCAGGCAGGGCCCTGGACCCCGCGGGGATGAGGGAATGAGCGACTTCGCTTCACACGCTTGTGTCTCGGATTAAGAACTGTTTCAAAAGCCAGACGTGCTGGGCTGCTGTAGCAACAAGGGGACTGATACCAAAACACTGACTGAAGACTGCACTCAGAGACGCATCTGTAAGAACTGAAATCCACACTTCAAAACTGACAGAGCGCGCTATAATGCTCGCAAACCCACTGTCTACTTCTCAGGGCCCCTGAGAAGGGGACGGTAGGAACCATCCAACAGCATATCTTCACGTTTTGTCTTGCCTATTTTATTGCCCAGTACGTTTTCCAGCCTTTGGGGGCTAACAATTGCTGGAAAAACTCAACTCCCGCTCAGTACATTAGGCACTACAGTACAAACCTGCATCCCTAGTCCTCTCAAATCCACCTCTGAGGGAAAAAAAACCCACAACTGACCCACCATTTGTTTTTCTTACAAGTCCTTGATTGTTTTAAATTCTGACTTGCTTGAATTGCACTTTAAAGCCCAGCAGCAAAAAGAAAAATTGGTAGCTATATTTGGGAATATATATATACATTTTTAAGAGACAAGACACTTCATCAAGTCCAAAAATGCATAGAGATATCAACTGCATAAGCTGTCAAGTTTTGACCTGGCTACAGTGAAGAAGCTGTGAAAAAAGATTAGCCTGTTAGCCCTATTAGAACTGGGGCAGAAACGGGATGCCTGCTTGGTTAGGAAAGAAAATGCAGTTAAGGATCAAGCTAAATTAGAACCAGCCACCACTGGTCTTACCCTACCACATACAGAGGGGCTACTGTGCAAACAGGAACTGTGGTGAAATCTAACTTTGCGAAGTGAAAAAATGCATGACTTCTAGACAGCTGCTGATAAAGAGAAGAAAGGAAAGTGGTACCTCATGGCCCTGAGCTCAGAAGATCTTGAGATCTCAACTTGTGTGGCTCACTTTCACTGGCAGAAGAGCCAAGCTCTAGATCACTCAGTTGCTCACTACTGTTATAGCAGCAGCCAATTTAAAATTGTGGCTCTGCAATCAGTTTACTGACCTCCAGCATCGCTATGACAATATTTACTTGGGACAGGAAGAAGCATCTGAAAAAGGAGATGAAGCACAAAACACAGGCCTCTCACTAATCCCAGTTTAACTAACAGCATGCAGTCAGTTTCTCTCAAAATCTGTAGGTTCTTCTTCCCAAGCAAACCTCACAGAATTTGCTAAAGTGACATCCAGTTGCTTTGCACATATACCTTATTGTGTCTTAAAAATAGACCTTAAGAAAATGATTTGGAAAGGCACAGAGCACATGCAGTTTAGTTCCTTGTGGATCTGTGTGTGTGTGGAATCTTCAGACTAAGTTGCAATGATTAATAACGGATGGGATGCTATTTTACAACCAGATAATTTCTTTCAAATTCCAGTTCTCTCCACAGGACACCAAGGAAATGAGCAGTGCTGTCAATGAAATGCAAGGCAAGAAGTTTAGCCTGCATACCAAGACAGACTGGAACATACAAAATTTCACAGACCTTGTTCTTCAGGTCACATTAAAGTAAAAATTGTAGTCTAATAAAAAAAAAAAATCACTAAAGCTAGTTACAAAGAACAGAATTATCAAAGTGCTTTAATATTTAAAGTGTCAAATATAATTAAACAGGACCATCAACACAGAGGTGCCATAAGATATTCAAACAGGTACATGTGTTTTCTGAATGCAGGAGAAGAGCAGAGGTTTTTAATTTCCCCTGTAGGGCCAAAGTGGGTTAAGAAAAGTTTTTCTTGTTCGTTTAGCTTCTTAACACAATGTATTTGCTCTGCTCATGCATTCGAAGGCACAGTTGGGTTTGCTCTATTTGAAACTGCATCAAAAGGACTGTCTGCCATGAAATGTTAATAAAGGGGCAGCTCTCACTGAGCAAAACACACAACCCCATAAAGTAGATTTACAGATACCTGTCAATTCAAAATATTAATTTTTATAAGCTATTTCTTGATACTTAAAAATTCTGAGCTATTTTCTGCAGCTTTCCTTTAAACATAGTTTAAGATAACTGCATGTGTTATTTGAACAATCCAACAGACTGCCAAAGCTATTATAACAAGAGCAAATGCAAACAAATAAATAAGGAAGAGGTTTCAAAACCACCTCGTGCAAGATGCTCAGACAACACGCCTTAGCCTCCCTACTGGCTTTTCCTCTCATGTTATGAATAAGAAAAAAACCATTCTCCACAGAACTTCTCTCAATACTTCCAATTCATTAAGCTGCTGCCTACTTTAAGCAGATGACCTTAAAGACGGAAAATAACTCTGTACCAAGCATAGCAAAGCTAGCTGCAGCAGGGGGACATGGTTGTTTAGAAACAAGAAATGTCAATCAAGACCTTTCCTGCAATTCACAGATACAAAAGCAGATTTGCTCCAGTAAGCTGAGACTCAGAAACATGACATCACACCTGGTCCCTTGCACAGGCATGTATGGCCACAAGTCTGAAGTAACACCAAGTCTCAATAGAAGAACTCGTCTGTTTTCTGAAGGCACCATAAAGACAGCAACACTCCCAGTGTAATGGGAAGAGGCAGAGGGAGGGAAAATAACAAATACAGTTAGGAGGAAACACTAAGAGCAGCTTCGTATAACAAGGGAGAAAAAAGGTGGCTCAGTTCTATTATGGCTGTAACATCTGTAACAGCACAGAGACCCTACACCTCTAGGCAAAGGAAGAGTAACCAGAGCTTGGAAAAATCTACTCCCAACAACAACAAAAAAACCCCAACTCCCATTTTTAGTCGATGGGTGTAAGACCTGTAACTGAAATCAAAGGAGACAGCAAAGAATCAAAATGCTATATAAAACATTGGGGTCCATACATACTCACATGGCATCATTAGCCTGTTTCTGATTTACCACAGTGTTAAAAGATCTGGACAGTCTCCTTTGCTCTGCAGGATGACTGAAGTCCAGTGAAGTGTCATATATTAAAACCCTTCTCAATCCGCCAGTGAGAACAAATCCCTCTCCCCAGCCTGTACGAGGGAGGGGGGGGCGTCCCCCAGACACGAGATGTTTCTAACAACCCCATGCACCCTACAGGCAGTACACCACTGAGTTAGTTCTCCTAAGCAGCAAGTCTAGGCTTGCTAAGATGTTCTGCCCCTTACATGGACTTGAGGACAGTTTCTCGTGAGCCCTTCAGGCCAGAGGCTCATGCTTCGCTGTTCCATTATTGCTTTTCAAACACGCTCTCGCTCCCCATTATCCCAGAAGGACTTTCTGCATCCTGCGCGCAGCGACGCTGGCTTCGTCCTCAGAGTCAGACTCGCTCTGGGAAGTAGAGCTCTGGGAGGCAGAGCTGCAGGGAGAGGAGCACTCTGGGGAGCACAGGTAGTGCATCAGCGGGAGGCGATACTTCCCACAGAAGTCAACAAACTTGATTTGTCTGACGCAGCTGTCAAAGTAGACACCTGTAAGGGCAGAAGGAACAGTAACAACATATGAGATCCTGCGTGGAGAAATCTGTAAACTCTGTGAGGTTGTTGCGGCTGGTGCAAATGCCTCAAATTAGGATTTAATTGACACTGCACTGGATGTAGAAACACAAGGGATACTGGAGGAAGAGAAGGGACCGGGACACCTATGGAAATGTGAAATTTCTTATTAAAACCAAAACAACTCCTGTAAAACTATATTGGGTAGGTGATTCAGAACAGCACACTCTACATGAAAAGACACAGGGCAGCTACTTCCAAAGAATTCATCAATTCTAACCATTAGGGAGAAATCTCAGGCTGGGAATTTGCAAATTTCCTAAGTGTCAAATGAATTCATCCACTCTATTTTCAAACTTGTAAAACCTCTTCTAGCAGCTAGCAAAAATGCATTCACAAATAGACCTTCATAGCTCTACTTTTCTTCTGCTTGAGTGAAGTCACCATGCTGAGTTTGGATGCTACTTTCCATGGCAACAGTGTGGCTGTAACACACAATTACGTTCTCTTCCTGTCACAGCAAGTGATTTTAGACAGTGACATTTTCAGAAGTTTCCAGCGGTGTTTTAAGTCCTAGCTGGTCTGGAGTAAGCTTTTCTCCTGCAGTATTAGAGCAATGCTGCAGTACTGCGCTAGTTCATAAGGAAAAGTGAAAAAGAGCAAAACCAATCCACTGTTATCCAAGCTGTGCAAAACTGAAAAAGGAAACATTTCTTTCCCTTCCAACACAAGTTCCAACCCTTCCATCTTTGCTTACAGAGCATGCTTTGATATTGTCCTGTAAGGAGATAAGATAACAGACTGCATTATGACTGCAGGGTAGATACTAATTAATGATTTTTTTTTTTTTTTCCTTAATCTTCTAAAGGCCAACCGCACAGATCATTTACTCTGGATAAAGATTAAGCATTAACCCAAATTAAGCCCAGGCATTTCAGGCTTTTCTATGAAGTCCTCTCCTTCCAGGAACGACATGCTAGTAGTCTCAAGCAAGAGCTAAACAAGTTGCTCTTGGTAACTGCCAAGCGCTACAGCCTCCCTCCTCTTTTCCATCCAGAGGTGAAGCTTGCTGTTCAGCACGAGTGCTTGCAAAAGTTCTCCTGTCCATTACTTAGTCTGAGCTATTTCAGGGCAGACAGATCAGAAACTTCAGGCCATAAAAGCATAGTGGAGTGCTGAGATGAGCTGCAAAGACTCTGACAGAAATACTGCCTCACATTCCCATGCAAATACAGTAAACCAGCACTACAACTTTGAACATCGTTCCTAAGTGAACAAGGTTCCTTAAAGACAAGTTTGCAGGAGACCTGGAGCCAATGAAATACGGCTAGAATTTGGACGCAACAATACATCTAACCTGACTGAGCTACTGAAGTCGTGGCACGTCACAGGGAAAGAAAACCCCTCAGGTAAAAGCAGGAAGCAGAGCACTTAAGGAGTACTTACCCCCGCATTTAGGATTGGGGCAGTTGCTGGCCAAGCTCAGATATCGGACAAGGTTCTCTGGGAGATCGCTGGGAGCGTAGGGAACGTTGCGAGTTTTAATTGTGCGTCCAGCCAGTTCCTGAAGGCTTGGGGGATTGTAGGTCAGGTCACGGACAAACCGAACCACCAGCGGGTTCCCACGCAAGCTCAGCTCTTCCAGGTGAACCAGGTTAAGGATCTCTCGAGGAAGGTAAGTCAGCAGGTTATTGTGCAGGCTAAGGGAACGCAGGGAATGCAGCCTGAGGATGAAGATGGAAACCCAATCAAGATGTGCAAGCAAAATCATTCCACAACTGCATTACACACAGACCTGATTACTGTCCTCTCTCCCACCAATTTCTTTTCCTTTGGCTTTTCTTCCTTTTAGAAGCATAAATTCATGCTAAAAGATCGGCTGTTACTCCAGCACACACAATGCCCTAGAAAACTTTGCTCAGCTCTGGAATTCCTGTTAAAGAAACACAGTCTTAAATATCCTGCTGTCCCTCTCGGTGTTCCCCACACACACCCCAGAAAAGGTAGCACAGAACAAAAGTATACAAACTGAGTGCTTTTGGGGGAGATAATGTTTCCTTGTACCCACTGTGTGCATCAAGAACGGTTCCATGCAATACTTTGAATAAGTCACCTGTTTTCGCTCATGCATTAAAGATGATTGCTGGTAGGCAGCCAACCCTGGAAAACCCCATGTTTTCATTGCTTGCGGCTGCATTACCTTGTGCTGTGATACCACCAGATCTCAAAAGCTAAGCAAGGCCAGGCCAGGCTAGCATCAGCATGAGTAACGAGCAGTTTTTTGGCTTTTGGAGGAGGCATTCTCCTCTCTCAGGAAGCACAAAACAATGCTCCAGCACAGCATCCAGGGATGCTCTCAAACCAATACAAGTTACAAGACAACTGGGCATTGTACATCAATAATAATCCCACTACACCATCAAATTCCAACTCAGAAAACTCCATGCTCCCATTCAGTTGCTTTTGGGGTTACAACTACACACTGAATTCTTCACCTCCCATCTTAAGCTACCCATACAGAGTTTGCAGTGTCCTCCTTCCCCCATTATGAAACAGATAAAAGCAGCAGCTTATCCTCTAAAGCTGTGCTGTAGGATTTAACAAACACTAAAACATTCTGAGATCCTAGAGTAAGAAATGCCAAGGGAACACAGGGGATGGTACAACACAAAAAGGCTTTGGGTGAAAGACAAAACCGACTAAGCATTCGTCACTAAGAATACGGTAGCATGGCAGTTTATCTCTTTTGAGTTGCCCAGGTACTTCTCAGGGCTCCCTGTACAAATCTATTAATTCACCTTAAAGTGTATACTTGGTGACATATTTTTTTTTTCCCCCCATAACCCTTTGATTGAGATTTCCATATCATATATTCACTGTCTGCCTGCAGTGCACCATGCTAAGGATCTTCTTGTTCAAGTCTAGTCACATTAACAAACTGAAGGACAAATAGGTCTTCCCAGGTGCTTTTATCCACACATGCAGAAGAAAAAGTTCAGAGTTAATTACAGCTGGTGGCTGATGACAGTAAATACTCACTGTGCCAGCTGAGGTGGAATGCTTTGGATCTTGTTGTCACACAGAACTAGATAGCTTAGAGAAGGCAGGTTTGCTAATTCAGGTGGAATTGAAGTAATGAAATTCCCTCCAAGGTACAGAAACTCTAAACTGAAAAAGAGAAGAGAAAACACTGCATTATTTCATTAAAGTCATTTCCAGATTCATTTAACACTAGGTCTTCTCATCTCCTGCATTTCTTGAAGAAAATTACAGATGACTATGTATGAGACAATTTGCTGAGGGGAAAAAAAAAAAGCCGAGTTGCACATCAAAATTACAACAGAGCTGCTGTTTCACAACAGATGATGTTGAGATTTACCTCCAGCCTCCTGCAGTCACCATTACATCTGTAGGTAGGCACCAGACAACTATGTATTCCTACACCAACCCCACACTCAAAGCTCCTGCTCCTATTTCCAAGGAAGAGCAGGCTGCGCACACAGGGTCTGCAGCACTGACGCAGCTCCTGCTGCAGCCAGTGGGAGTTCTCAGTTTCAGCAGGCGCAAAGCAAGACAGC